TCGCCCGCACCGCCAGAGGTGCCGCTGGGGACGGCACCGCCGCCACGCTGATGCGAGTCGACGACGGCGCGGAGGATCCGGCGGAATTCCTTGCGCTCAGCCTCATAGATCGACATACGCTCCTCCAAGTCCGCGATGCGGCCGAGCAGCCGCTTCTCCATGTCACGCACGTGAGCCTCATCGGCCTTCAGCGCCACCACTGCGGCGTCTGCCTTGTCGCGCAGCGTTGCGGTGATCTCACCGCGCTGCACATAATTGCGGTCGAGCGCCTTCAGCCGCCACTCCCCGTCGCCCTCGAACATCTCGGAGCCGAACTCGCCGCCGATGTTGCCGCTGCGGGAACCCTTCAGCTGCAGATCGCGCTTCATATCCCCCTTGAGTCCGGCGATGGCGTTGCCGAGCGTCATGGACTGTTTGTCTTGCGCCTCCTCGAGCCGCACCGTCAGGTCGCGTAGAAGCAGCCGGCGGAACTCCACAAAGAGCGGCGCGCTTCGCATCGTGTCCTGCATCTCGCGCTGCAACTTTGCTATATCGTCGCGCTTCCTCCAGCTCGCACTGTTGCCGTTGCCGCTGCCGCCCTCCTCGTCGCCCTCCACATCGGGCACAGGTCGTAGCCACTGCGTGACGCGCTGTAGTTCCTCGAGGTGCCGCTTCTGCGACTCCTCAATATCGCTGCACATCTGTTCAAGCCGCTTTCGCGCCTCTGCGTTCTGGTGGCGCACCTTCCTCTCCTCCTCCTCCTCTTTGCGTAGGCGGTGTGCACGCTCCTTGTTGATCTCTTCAACGAGGCCGTGCAGCGTGCGCACCCCGCCATCGGCCTGACCCTCCTGGTGGCTCGACAGAGGCACAGCGACCGGACCCACGTCTACGCCCGACGCCGTCACACTGTCGCGCAGGAACTCCGGCAAGAGTGACTCCAGCGCGAGGCCATCCGTGAGGGTGATGCCACCCTCCGCCGCCTTCTCATGTATCGACAGCAGCGTCTGCTGCCGCAGGAATGCGCGGATATTGCCTATCGATGCGGTACCAGTGTCCACATCGGTCCTCACGGCAACCAGAGCACCGTGGAAGGCGTTGAGTTTATCAGTGAGTTGGCTGCTCAGGTTGCGCAGGTACGCATCCAGCGGGAACGTCTGCACCAGCATCGACGGGATCGGTGGAAGCTCGCCGGCGGAGGCGCTCATTCTCGCCGCCCCACCACTCTCTTGTCGCAACGAATCTTCGCACACACCCATGGCAATTGAGCAAGGAAGCACACACAGACACACGGTGGAACAAAAAATTTAGAAGAGAAGCAGGGAAGAACGGGATGGAGTGGGTGCAAAGCAAGCAGATGAGACGCAGAAGAGCAAACACGCAAAACAAGAGCAAAGAAAGGGAATCCACAAAAAAAACCCCGCAAAAGGGGAATTTGGGGTGGAAGGAGCGCCTGGACGTCAAGACTCACAAATGGCCGTGTCGCATTGAGCAAGTCAGTGCGTCACAACCGGCAATGAAGCATAAACGCATGCATCTGTGAAGAAATTAATATGACTGAAAGGAGGGAAAAGGGATCTGCGTCATTCCGGGTGGGTAAGTTTGGTCTCCTTCTGCTGCTTGTACTCCAGCAATTCCTCACGAACCACCTGGATGTAGTCCTCGCTGCGCGGCAGCAATATGCGGCGTATCGCACGCAGCGTATCGATGCTGGTTGGGCTTGCAGCATACGAAAGACGGGCAAAGTCCTCCTGCTGCAACGGCGTCTCTGCAGCAGCATCACCGCTGCCGCCCCCGCCGCTGCCAAACCGCAGCTTGGACCAGATGGCACCGAGAGCACTGTACGGCGCCCGACTGCTCGCCACCGACTCCTGCAGCCGCCGCATTTCACGCTGCGCCTCACGCTGCCGTAACGAGGCCAAATACTCCTGCTCACGTGTCGTGTCCATCGGGTGGTGAGACGGTTGTTGCACAGTCAGCACCCCAGTTTCTGATGACGTTGATGTTGTTTGTGTTGCCGCTGGTGATGTGTGCTGCTCTTGCTTCCCTGCGTCATGGACCCGCAGGGTCCCTCCGATCTGAGTGGCCAGATCCTCCACGCTGCCTGCACTTCTGTTGTGGCTGTCACTGCTACTACTACCAATGATTTTGCCGTCAATGCCACCACTGCTTCCACTGCTTCTGGCGTTCTCTCTCATCACTTGTTGCCCTGCTAAACGCGTCGCCTCAGCGTCGAGCAGGCGTCGCTTCTCGCGCCGTATGGCTTCCACAACGGGGCTGAAATCCGGTCGGTGCGACTGCAACTCATCGCGTGCCCGCTGCAGATCGCGCTGCAGATTCTTCTCGAGGTTACCCAGTGTTTCCTCCATCGCCTCAACAAAGTCATCGTAGTGGCCGGCGAGCAGCCCCAGTTCGTAATACTGCTGCAGGCACTCCATCAGCACCCACACCGTGAGCGCCTTGAGCGCAATTGTGCCGTAGTAGTAGAAGTTGTCGGTGCGCTCCCACTTCGTGTAGGTGCTGATGACCTCCTTCAGTTTTGTCACGTTCCGTTCGAACTCCTCGCGCGTGTTTCCGAATATCATAGCATCCTTCTCGAAGTCAAGGTCGACGAGGAGGAAGTGTTCGCGGTGGCTCATCGTGGTGCCCTCAAAGCTCTTCATGTATGCCATTCGCTTCTTTATCAGCTGCTCCTTCGTCAGCGACTCGTCAATGGGCATGCCACTCTCGTCGTACTTGGGTACGATGCTGCTCTCACCACCAAATGGCTGCAGCTTGCGCGGCCGCAGGAATCCGAGCCGCGCGTCATCCCTCGCACCGAAGCCCGCGCCGAGGCCGACGCCAGTCGTGCCGTACGGCGTTACCTGCGACGTGAAGTCGCGCGTGGAGCGCTGGTACACGTCGAACTCCGTCTTCTCGCGCTCCACCGGTGGGAGGTTCGCCACCGGCACGCCACCACCGATACGCTCCGGCCGCACGAGGTGCGTCTCCATGTACACCTTCGCATCGGCGCTGTCGCGGCGCATGAACCCGCGCTGCGCTGCCTCCGACTCGAGCTGCTGCGCCCGCGCCTCGTCGAGCGGGGAATCGGGCGGCCCACGCTTGTCGCCGGCGCGCAGCAGCACAGACGCAGTGAAGAGACCAACGCGCCGCATTCACGAAATAGCAATAATAATAATAATAA